AATTTTGTGATAGTTGATTGAATTGGTTCCGAAGCATTCATCAACAAAAGTCCCAGTGAAATCTAAACTCAAAAATTTCATCCTTGTTCATACAACCATAGTTTGTTCCAATCATGTAATTAGATCTAATTTTGTTTGTTGTGCTTAGACCTTCTATTTTGCATCAACCTTATGTTAGTACTGTAGGATCTCGAAATGTTTGAGTGTGATACCTTACTAATTTAAAAAAAAGAAAAGATAAGCCAAAAAAACAGGGATGTGTAGAGAAAGTAAGAAGATTTAAATCCTTACGAATCCGCTACAATTGGCGTCATGGGGCAAAGGTGGAACTAGAAATTAAAAAAAGGTGACGAAATGAAAAGTTAAGGAGTGGCAAGTATTTAATTTTATGACTTTCATATCCTTTAAAAAAAAAACTATTACAAATATTCTTATTAAGATAAAAATAGTTAATAATAAATTATTATTATGTATTTTAAGTCTAAGGGACAAATTGTCGGTGTATTATATGATATTAAAAATTTTACTAGAAATCTAGGGGTTGCAAGGGTCCCCCCTGCCATCCCATGGTTCCAACTTTGTCAAGAGATCATAATGACAGAACAAGAAAAAAAAAATAGAAAAGATTGGAACCTTATCTCTTACTAAGATCCGCTATTTAGAGGTTAAGACATGGGATCTCAAGCACTACAAGAAAATATACAAAGTACAAAATAAATTAAAATAATACTAACATATACAAAAGGCATATTGCCTTGAGATGATATTTGAAATGAACTGCCAATTTACTTGAGAAGTTCAGTGATTTGGGTGTGAGGATTAATTTAATGAAAATATCAATCTGTAAAGGGCTAAGAGTTGAGTGAAGTACCACTGAACACATGCTAATTAAAGTCAACAAACTTATCTTTCAAGTAAATTTTGTAATCTTTGACATTGATGATGACTCAAAATACCAATTATTTTAAGTTGACTTGACTACCGACAGAGAGCAAACACACATTCAGAAAACAAACTAAATCTTAGAAGGCAGGAAAAATAAGTGAATTTCAAGGTCTATGAAGAAATGAATAAGCAACACAAGAAATTTTTCACTGCATTATTGCAAAAAACATCATTTGCCTTGACCTGCGGTTAGGAGAGAACCCAACAAAGCAACCTAAAGGCTGAAGAATTAATCTTGTGATCAGCACAACCACGAAGAGTAAAAAAAAAAAATTAAAGCAAAAAGAGAGCTGCCAGTGCATTACTATGGAAAAAGCTACCATACGCCTCAACCTCCAGGAAAAAACAATATAAGCAACCAAAGCCAGAGCTACTGTGGATGATAAGGGCGTCAGAGTTGAAGCACCAAAAGATTAATAATTTACATGATATGAAGTTGAATGTAACAAAAACAATGTCAGGTTAACAACTATAAATCAACATTCATTGCGACCCAACTCGACACTTTTTAGACCAATAAATTGTTAACTCATTGATTCAGTAATTCACTTTAATTATGAATTATTATGTCTTTATTGAACAGAAAAAGGACAAAGCAGTGATGCTCAAGTATTTGCAGAGTAGTTAGCAACCCTTGTGCAGGGAAATTATCTATCCCTGACCCCTTCATTTTCTTATTTATCTTTCCCAGTGACTGCATTGGAAACAATGTAGACTCTAAGCGTGGAGAGTATTTCACTCCAATATGCTTGTTCTGCTAGTCTGGTTTCACAGCGGTTGGTGTTACATTGTAGCTTTGATTGTCAAGTTGTATGTGTTGTATTGTTTTCTATTCTTCTTAGTTTTTTCTATATTTTCTGATGGTTTCGCAATTGATTGCTATCTTTTGAACTTTATATTTTCTCTAGGAGGGTGTAGAGAGAGAGAAAGAGAAAGCATTTGTTCCCCATGGTTCTACCAAACTCATTGTTCAATTTTTGTAAAAAGTAGTTAAAATAATAGCCCATCGTATTCATTTGAAGATTTGCAAAAGTGACTTAAAGGGATGAGCGATGCCTAATTCAAAATTTTGAGGCATACAAAAAAAAAATTTAATCATATATGTATTAAGTGGTTGTAATCTTATAAAAACTAAATAGTATTCAGGTTATGTATTCCATCAATTTTTGTGACACATGATGACAACAAAAAGGGATATTATAGTATATTAATGCTTTGTTTAGTAAATTTTAAGAAGACCAGAGCATCATGATTTATATAAGAAATAATCATTTTTACATTTGTTGAAATTTTATTAAAACGGTATGCCTTTGTGTCTAATTATTTGCTTTTGCTTTGCTCAAGAAAAGAGTAAAAATCTAAGTATAAAGGTGTTTGAAAATTGTCATTTCAGCAGCAATTTCCTAGCTAGGTTTTAAAATTTTTCAAGTAATTTTCACTCAATTTAAGAAATTTGCTACTAATTAAACTATTTTTATTGTAAACCGATAATTTTGGTGAATTTCACATTCAAAATGCAAAAAAAGGTTCAATAGGGGCTGTCCGAGCAACATAAAACATGCAAAGTCAATTTAGAAGCTAAAGAGCTTAGACTGGGTCCTTCGACACAAAATCCAACGCCAAAACAAGCTAAAAAATCAAAATTTTGGCAGAGAGCTCAATGTCTAGGAGCTTTACGTGAAACCCGGACACCAGTTAACAATTTTCAAAAGTTTCATCTAGTGTAAGTGATCACAACAGATGCCCGAACCGGACATCGAGCACCTGACTTGGCAATAGCCTGATTTTGAGCAGTTTTGGGTGATGCAATTTGCCTCTAGAGAATGATGAAAAAAAAAAGTAACGTAATATTAATAGAACAAAATTCAGGTTTAAAGAGATAAAAAAAGCAACCGCCAGGAGGGACTTGGAGAGGAGAAAGACGACGATAGTGGACCAGAGCGAAACCAAGCACAACATATTTTTTCCTTCTCCCTTCATTATTTGTTTTTGTTTTTAAATAAGTATTTTTATGTGTTTTAAATTTCTACTATGAATAAAATCTCCTTGTAAAGATTGAATGTAAACAACAATTTATGCTGTTAACTTTTTATGAATGAAATCAGTTATTGTAAGCTCTTAACTTGTACTGTACAGTTTCAAACTGCACTTTATTTATGTGTGATTAACTAGCCACTGATTACATGATTTGGAAGCTTATTCAAGAAGACAAATGGAAAACAAACTAATATGATTAAGAGATTGTCAGATGTCATAAAAATCTGCCAGTATTGAATCCACCTCCGAAATGACTAGGTTGTATTGATAAATTGGTTACCCTAGTTTTTCAATAGAACAGTAGATATAGATCTAGAATTGATTGCAACAAATTTGTGATAGTCAACTAATTTGATTCGCAATAATTCAGCTGCAGAATTTGAAAAAAATTAATCCTTAGATTTTCATCCCTATTGATACAAGTAGTTTATTTCTGTCCTGTAGTTCTTCGATTTACTTTCATTCATTTTAGTTAGTCTTTTTATTTTCCATAAAATTTATATTAGCATGGTAATTCAATAAAGTTAAATCTCATCTAATATCGGTATTTACAACATAATCTCTAAAAGATGAAACAGTTCTAATGACTTTGTTACTCATTCAACAGCTTACTCTTGCATGTGTTTCATCGTATAAGTTAAACTTGTGTGGCATCATGTTTAGTGTTAATCCTATTAATTTTGAGTGCACATAAAACAAGAATAACAACTACAAGCCTTTATCCGACTAAGTAGGGTTGGCTACATAAATACTTTTTATCCATCGTGTCCTATTGAGTGCACATAATTTAATATATTTGAATGTAATAAATTTTATTATGGAAAATATTTGTATACTAATTCATTAGTTCACTTATGCATGATATATTTCCTACACTTGCACACTTAGTTTTTTTATTTAATTAATTGAATTTAATTAGTATATATCTAGCTTTTGTGTAAGGAATTTGATTGGACGATTTCAAAAGAAGTTTGAAGTGGCCAATTGCACATCCAACTCACATCAAACTCACCCCAATTTTTTTGTTTCCTCAAATATCAATTAAAAATTTATTGAGCTGCATCATTATCACATCCAACATCATTTTAAAAAATAAGAATATGATAATGTAATTATTGTAATATTAGGTTCCTTAAAAATATATACAACATTTTAAAATAAGATACCTTAAAGCTTCATAAATTAGATGAGCTAGGTACAGCTTAATAGATAAATGACCAAAAAATAGAATATGCATTGCTAAAATAAGTCACAAGAAAATAAAAGAAACACAATCTAAAAGTTTCCACGACTGCCTAATCGACATAGCAGAGTCATAAAATTATCCATGGCATCCTCTCAGAATTGCATCAAAAGCAACTCCTGGAAAATAAATGACACTCCACTAATTGTTTCACTCACAATGTATCCATGTGTTGGAAAATAAATGACACTCATCTAATTGTTTCACTCACGATGTATCCAAGTGTCAATCCAATGTCAATATATAGGAGTACTGATCAGCAAATACTATAAGTCTAAAATCATGAAAATTCAACTACTAAACATGATGAGGAGAAAACACGTACAGTCTTAGCAATACAAAAATAAAAGAGTAAAGTGTCAAAATGGTCCCCCATTGTTTACACGAGGTCATTTTAGTCTCGGAGTTTATAGAAGTGTCAAAATAATCCTCAAAATTCTTTAAATTTGAGCTGAAATAGTCTTCACGGTAGACTATTATGGCTCAATTTTAAAATAGTTGAGAACTATTTTGATACTCCTACAAACTCTAGGCTAAAACGGCTCATGTAAATAATCGGGCACTATTTTGGCACTTTAATCAAAAACAACAATATTGCATAACCAATCATCTTCATTTTTTCATGCAATTGGTCCACAACACATACAAATTATGCAACTAATGTATAAAAAAATCAGTAGCAACGTTAGTGGAGAGAAGAAAGCACCACCACTGTACCAGATACCAACAAAGACTGGATTGAACAACATCCCAGAAAAAGCATGGTAAAGAATACCTGTGCCGTCCCCTCCCGTTTTCTTCAAACCGATCATCATGCATGTAGAATGCGCCAGCAGTTGGCACCGCATAAGGTTCGTTCTCCTTCTTCTCCTGTTCCTCAGCCTGATTCTTTTCCCTATACCCACCCATCTCGCCGCCAGACCTCAGGCCGGACTCCTCGATCAGTACTGCTGGACCTTCGAACTCTCCTGCATCCCTGCTGTGCCCTCCCTTAAGAACATTCCTCTCCAAAATCCCGACCTCGTCTTCACCTTCCATGTCCTCTTCCTCCACCTCCTCTTCTAGCATTTCGTCCTCTTCCTGCTCCTCGTACTCCTCCTCGTCATACCCCGGCGCACCTCCTTCCCCTTCCAACTCATCATCTGATCGAATACCAAGCCTCTCATTTCTGACATGCTTACTTTCCTTCTCAACGCCAGACCCCTCTCCGTCCTCGTCGTCACTGGCTTCCCTCCGACGCATCATCGATGGACGAAGCACGTCCTCGGGATCGCTATCGTACTCCACATCCTCCCCATCCGCCATCGATACCCTTTAAAAAGCCCTAGAAGCAAAAGTGCACAACCTCGTCGGACGTAAAACGTCGCGGCCCGATCTAGGGTATTTCTCGGAATGAGAAGGCGAATCTCCAGATAGAAAAGAACGACCGAAGATAAAAGAGAGGGTGGGGAAGATGGATCTGCAATAGCAAAAGAGATAATCCGAGCTTTAACGAAGCCGATACAGCGCCGAAGTCTCAACGGCCGGAGTCTACTTTCCCGGTGACTTCCCCGCTGTTTATCGCCGAGCGGTTGGCAAGTGTGGCTTGTAGAAATGGAAAAATCTATTTACTATCTGCTAAGTTATAACGCCCACAAAATTGGCGCAAGCGATAGGAACCCGGACCTTAGATTTGCGGGGGGGGTCTGCTGGTGCCTTAATATTGCCCTGCCTTTTTAAATAAGTTCACACGGTTGTCAAAAACTAATTAATTGTACGGATCGGGCTGTCAGTTGGGCCCGCTTTAAGTATGTAATCTCTAAGATGTAGAAGGTTCTCTCTCTGTTTTTTCTTTTTGAAATTTGCATATATATATATACCACAATTTTCATGTATTTATATATCTAACTCTTAAAATATAATATTTACACTTATAACTCATTGGTATCATGAAAATGTGCATTTTATTTTTAAGGAATTAATGATTATGATATTCTTATGTGATGTTAAAGCTCTGCTTGGTATAAATGTAAATATGAATTTTTAGATATATATATATATA